TAATGCAAATGCAAGAAAAGATTTACCTTTATATTGTGACCGAAGAGATTTGAGTTGAAGTCGGACGATAATAGGATGTTGTTGATGCCAAAAAAAAATTACACCTTATCAAAAGTCGACACTAGAATAGTTTGTCGATGGATCAAGGAACTTAGAATGTTAGATGGTTATTCCTCAAACTTGGCGAGATGTGCTATTGAAAAAGGTAGTATTCACTGTATGAAGAGTCATGATTGTCATGTATTTATGGAGACATTACTCCTTGCAACGTTCATCTCTTTGCGAATGCACATGTTAAATCCACTAATAGAAATCAGTAACTTCTTCAAAGATTTGAGCTCGACGAAGCTAAAGGAAGATTCACTAAGAAAGTTGGATGAAAATATTATATTTATTCTCTACAAATTAGAAAGAATATTTCCTCATGCATTCTTTGATTCATTAGAACATTTTCCTATTCATTTTTCAAACGAAGCATGGTTTGATGGACTAGTGCAATATAGGTGGATGTATCTATTTAAAAGGTTTATGGGAGAATCAAAACGTTCAGTAAAAAACAAAGCCAGAGTTGAAGGATCAATTTGTGCAGCTTATTTGCATCATCAGACAACATACTTTTGTTCACATTATTTCAAAAACTTCATGTTGTTGCCCAAAAACTCTACTGTTTTCCCTGTACTTTCATTATACTTAGTGTTAAGAGTGGCTAGAATACTCAACCAGGAATGAATTATACTTGGAACCTGGAGTGGTGTAAGAATATTCAACTAGGAGTGGGTTAAACTCATTCTAATCTTGAAATGATTAATGGAATCTTTTAAATGTTCTTAAAGAAGAACTGGATGTAGCTCAAGTTTAAGTGAACCAATATAAAAATTGAACCTTAATGTTTTCTTCTTTTAAATTGTTGTTCAGTTTCCTATGTCATCGTCAGTAAGAGTTTATATTTGTTGATCTTACATACACATCGTCCAAAGATAGTTCACTTATGCATACTATTATCACGAACCATTAGATGTTGCTTAGTGAAAATATTTTGAAAACATTATTCACCCCCGGTCCCACTTCACGCCCTCTAGTGTTTTCTTGTGTACTTCAACAATGTCTAATGCTTATCAATGTTTAAAACATCTATTGCATGTACTGTAAAGTACTTTGAATCTTATATGCCTTTCTTTTTTGAAATTCGTGCAAATCAATAAAGCATAAACATATGATCATAATCACTACACCCAAGAAAAAGACATTGTAGAGAAGAAGAACATTCTAGGATTGTTTCCTTGAAGTCATTTGCTCTGTCACATCGTACAAGCTCAAGTTTTTATTAAGGCTTTGAGAAAAAGCATTGACCCCTACAAAGTATACCAAAGTTTGACTTTGGTACAAGCTCAAGTTTAGTTTAAGGCTATGAGAAAAAGCTTTGACACCTACAAAGTATACCAAAGTCTGACTTCGAACCTAAAGGTTACTTGTTGTTTTGAAGTCAATTTTTTGTCTAACAAACATCTTTCAAGGAAGGCTATATATAGAGAAAACTTGAAGAGAAAAAGAAGATGATAACACAAGAAAAATAACATAAGAAGAATAACAATTCAAAAAGGATTATACAAAAAGAATAGTGAACTCAAGTTTGTTGTGCTCATATATCACTGAAGTTGAATATCTTTTGAGAGAAAAATCTTAGCAAAATACAAAACACCTCATATTATTTATATCATGTCCTTTAGATTTATCATTTGTACATTTGTTCTTAACATTGATTGTGTTGTAAATTTTGAAGAGAATTAAAACACTTGTGTATACTTGTTGTCTAGGTTTGAAACCAGGAATGGTAAAAATATTTGTTGTAAATCGCGAGCGATTAAACTCGAACTAGTCGTGTTTACTAGGGAACCAAGAGTGGTGAGAATATTTGTTGTAAACCTGGAGAAGTAAAACTTGTGTGATCTTAAAAAATATTAATGCAACCCCTCAAGAGTTCTTAAGAAAGAACAAGACGTAATTGAGGTTGAGTAAACCAATATACAAATTTGTGGCTTATTGATTTCCTATTCAAAACGTTTTCCATTTACTCATCTTATAAAAACCAACATTTAAACATCTTACAATCTTTATACATTACCTTTACAAGTTATTAGACATTGTTTTGCGAAAGAATTTCAAAAAAAACAATATTAACCATGCCTACGCAAGGATACTTCACTAGTACAATAGTAGAAGAACATTTAGTAAATGCACATTTGTGAAGGCCAATTTGATATTTGTCCCTCTCCCATTTACAAACATTTACAAACGGGTAGAAAAAATTCCATTAAAATTATTCATGAGGTTAAACCATAAAAGGACAAAAAGATCAATACGCAACCAGAAAATGCCTCGGACATTACTCTCTTGCAACTTCAACAATTTCCTAGATTCACCATATAATCCTCAGATATATTACTATCATTACATAAAAATTATGATTTACCTACAGATTATAACGTGCGGATTCAAATGTGTAGGTAAACTAATATTATATACAAAAATTAAAAATCTGACATCCAAAAGTCATTATCCAAGCTGTCAATTTTCTCACCAACAAGAAATGCATGCACCTGATCTCCAATTTGAACCCAACTGCAACCAGGATTTTTCTTAGCTCCCCTTGACCTCATCAACTCCCTAACCTTGTTTGCCTCCTCCCATCTTTCAGCTTCTGCATACATATTTGAAAGGAGAATATAGTATCCACAGTGCTGAGGCTTTAATTTAAACAAATGTTCAGCTGCCAAGTGCCCCAATTCAATGTTCCCATGTATCCTACATGCTCCAAGAAGTGCACCCCATATATTAGTATCTGGTACAATAGAAAGGCCTCTGATAAGGTCCAAAGCTTCTTGCATTAGACCAGCCCTACCTAGGAGATCAACCATACATGCATAGTGTGTATGCATTGGTTCAATATTAAGATCACTCATCATCTTAAAGTATTGTCTCCCTTTCTCAATCATCCCTCCATGGCTACACACAGTCAAAACAGCAATGAATGAAACTGAATCATATTCCACACCATCGTCCTTCATTGCTTCAAAAAGGTTCATTGCAGTGTCCAACTCACCCCTCATACCATACCCCAAAATCATAGTATTCCAAGAGGCCACATCCTTGTTTTCAATAGTGTCGAAGACCTTTGTAGCCAGATCTATTCGTCCACACCTGGTATACAAATCCAAGAGCGAATTCGCCGCAAAAAGATGAGAGTGAAAAAGCTTTCTCACCAGCAGACCATGGATCTCTTTGCCTTGTCTTACGGAAGCTAGATTTGCGCAAGCTGATATTACACCCATGAAAGAAACAATATCAGGAGCCATGCCCAAGAGTATCATTTCTGAAAACAAACTTAAAGACTCTGAGCAGTCATTTGTTCGAGAATAGCCTATAATTAGTATGTTGTAGGAAACTTCGTCCCTGACAGAAATATTGAAGACATTTTGAGCAAGGTTTAAGCATCCACATTTTGAATACATATCTGTCAGAGCATTAGAGACAAACAAATCGAGGGCAGATCCAACCCGAATAATCCTGGCATGAATTTCTTTTCCGACATTCAGGAAACCAAGTCTCGCACAGGCTGGAAGAGCATTTGTGAAGGTTACATTGTTGAGGATTTCTCCCTTAGCTTGCATTTTCCTCATTAATTCTACAGCTTCATACTCAAGCTTGTTCTGAGAAAAATTGGCAATCATAACATTCCAAGATACAATGTTTCTACCGCCCATTTTATTGAATATAGTAGATGCTATTCTTGAAGATCCTGATTTTGCGTACAAATCTATCAACGCATTAGCAATAAAAACATCAGAGTCAATATTCATCTTTAAACAAAACCCATGAACTTCCATTCCCAACTTGAAAAGTCCTAATCCTCCTAATACAGGTAGCATACTAGAAATGGTGACAGAGTTCGGTGTCACACCTGCCCCAATCATCAACCTAAATACATCGAAAGCATCCATATATTTCCTTCTAAAAGAAAAACTAGTAATGATAGCGTTCCAGGAAATCACATTCCTCTCATCAATTTCATCAAAAACTTTTCTGGAAGCCTTCTCATTTCCACACTTCCCGTATACATCAACCAACGCATTTCCAACCTTTACATTGCCCAACAAGCCAACCTTCAATGCATAACAGTGCACGTTTGTCGCCATCACCTCATCCTCAGTTTCCGCACACACCGGCAACACACTCACAACCGTAACCAAATCCGGTTGAATCCGTGGGACGGCCACAACCATCTCCTTAAAAAACCTGAGTGCCTTCTTGTAAAACCCATAAAGAGAACACAAACCGATAACAGTATTCCACGACACCTTATCCCTTTCCGGCATTTCATCAAACACTTTCGTTGCATCGTCAAAAAGCCCACAATTCCCGTAAAAGGCCGAAAGGGTATTCCCTACAAAGACATCCCCATCAAATCCAAGCTTAAACACAACCCCATGAACCTCCCTACCCTTATGAACCTCCACAGAATCAGAACACACCTTCAGAACAAAAGGGTAGGTGCACTCATCAGGCTTAACACCAGCACGAACCATGGTGTTATAGTTGCTGAATTCATCAAAGAAACCAGCAACAGAATTGGCACGGATAATGGTGTTCCACAAGAAAGCACTACGGGAATACACAACACTGTGTTGGAAGAGAATATGGGAGGATGTGGGGTGCCCAAAGGAGGCATATCGGAGAATGAGAGAGGCACATAGGGAGACACTGCGAGGAAGGAAGCCATGGAAGACGGCAAAGGCGTGGGCTTGCTTGATTTGGGAAAGGGTGTGGCAAAGGGTGCAGAGTTGGAGAAGGTTTGTGTGGTTGAAACTTTGAAGAGAAGTGGAAACGAGTGAAGAAAAATGGGTGGTTTTGGTGAGTGTTGTTAATGAGGGGAGTTTGGGTTTGTGTTTGAATTGAAGACGGTGTGTGTTGAGAACAACATGAGAACGGAATATCATGGAACAATGTTACTTTTGATGTTGGCCTCAGTGATCAACCAACAAGGCAAAGAACATGGAACAATATCATGCAACAATGTTATGTCTCACTCTGTCATCTGTATCAGCTTCTGCGTCATAGAATCTTTGCTCTCTTGTTAGAGAAAATCTCTATTATTAAACGAAGATGATTGTTGAACAACTTTCATATCACCCTAATAGAGACCAACGAGAGAAAGATAAAGAGAAACAT